ATAAATGCCCATTTAGGCTTTTATTTTTTTTTTTTAATTTTTTTTTAATGTTTTATTTATTTTTAGGAGAGAGAGAGAGACAGCGTGAGCAGAGAGAGTCAGAGAGAGAGGGAGTCACAGACTCTGAAACAGGCTCCAGGCTCTGAGCTGGCTGTCAGCACAGAGCCCGACGCGGGGCTCGAACCCACGAACTGCGAGATCATGACCTAAGCGAAAGTCAGACGCTTAACCGACTAAGCCACCCAGGCGCCCCCCCCTTTTTTTTTTAAAGCACAGCTTCATTGAGGAATGACTGATACCCAAAGAACTGGATACATTTAATATGTACACTCTGATGACTTTGGACACATTAACACCTGTGAAACCAGTGCCACTAAGTAAGAAAGATATCCAACACCTCCCAGGGTGTCCTTGTGTCCTTCATGGGTATTTTTGTGTGCGTGGTAGGAACACCTAATGTGAGGCCTACCCTTGACAGATTTTTTTTCCAGCTTAATTTTTGAAATTAAAAACATTTAAAAAAAAATTAGAGAGTGCATGACTGATGGAGAGGGCAGAGAGAGAGAGAGAGAGAATCCAAAGCAGGCTCCATGCTCAGCAGAGCCTTGTGTGGGACTCAAACCCACAAACTGTGAGATTACGACCTGAGCCAAAACCAGAAGTGTGACCTGAGCCGAAACCAAGAGGGTGATGCTCAACAGACTGAACCACTTGGGCACCCCCACTTCATTTACCCATTAAAAAAAATGTTTATTTATATTTGAGAGGTAGTGGGGAAGGGCTGAGAGAGGACAGAGGATCTGAAGTAGGCTCTGTACTGTCAGTGCAGACCCTGATGCGGGGCTTGAACTAATGAACCATGAGATCATGACCCAAGCTGAAGGTGGACACTTAACTCACTGAGACATCCAGGTGCCCCTCATTTACCCATTTTTAACTTCTGTTTTTTGTAATCACCCAGAGCTAAAGAGAAGAAGGAAGTTTGAGCTGGGCATGAGAGCTAGATTCAAAATTCAAATATACTTGGCAGATGGGAGGCAGGGCCAAAGGTGTGCATTGAAGCTGACACACAAGAAAAGGGAGCCTCAGCCTTTCTAGACCTTTGTATGTCTGAATGCTGCCTTTCCAAATCACTTGTCATGAATGATTGAGCCTGCAGGGCCCAAGAGGGACCTAAAAGCTCTGGATGGCACTCACAGACATTGGGGCTTTCAGTGCAAGGAGCAGATGGCAATGAATTGAGCAGTAACAGCAAGCATCTTCCTTGGGAAGATGGGCTCATACCTTCTATTTGCCTGCTGGATCTCACATGTTCAGCTGTGCCCTCGGGGTGGCTGACCTATATGGACGATACAGAGAGTTCTCAAACTTTTGGGTCTCATGATTTTCACATGCTTACTAACTACTGAGGACTCTAAATAGCTTGTTTTGTGGGTTATATCTATTCGTATTTACTGTAGTCATAATTAAAGCTAAGAAATGTTTAAAATATTTACTCATTCATCTATTTTTTTTCTTTTAAGTAGGCTCCACACCTAACGTGGGGCTCAGACTAATGACCCTGGAACTGTGGAACTGAGTAGCACAGCAGAAGCGTGCTGGGCCCACAATGACTCTGGGATCAAGAGTTGCACGCTCTATTGACTGAGCCAGCCAGATGCCCCTTTACTCATTCATCTAAAGTAATAGTAACAAGGGCGCCTGGATAGCTCAGTTGGTTAAGCGTACAACTTCAGCTCAAGTCATGATCTCGTGGTTTGTTAGAGCCCCACACTGGGATCCATGCTGACAATGTGGGAACCTGCTTGGGATTCTCTCGCTGTACCCCCCTCTCTCCGTCCCCCCTCCTGCTTTCTCTCTCTCTAAAATAAACTTAAAATAATGAATAACAGTAGTAATCTCACTGGGTGTTAACATAAATAACATCCTTTTTATCTTTTAAAATATTTATTTTATTTTTAAAACTTTTTTTGTGTTTTTAAGTAATCCCCACACCCAACATGGGACTCAAACCCACAACCCTGAGATCAAGAGTGATGTGCTTTACTGACTGAGATAGCCAGGCGCGACCAACATCCTTTTTAAATAAAAAAACATTGCCTTCCATTTTTGTAACTCTCCTCAAAATGTGGATTAACAGAAGACAGCTGGATTTTCACATCTCCTTCTGCATTCGATCAGTGGAAATATCACAGGTCAGACAGCCTTTGGGAAATTCCATTGTTCACTACTGAGAGAATAAAAGTGAAAAAGGCAAATAACATCTTAGTGCTATTGTGAAAATAGTTTCGACTTCAAGGATCCCCTGGAAAGGTCTTGAAAACCCCCAGGCATTCCCAGCTACACCCAATACAACTCTTGTGACCTCTGGATCTACTGGGTTCAGCCAATGGGAGCCCCAGGGAGAAACTGCAGTGATAAGTCGGTGCCCAGAACATTTATTCTCCTGGCTCTATCCCTGCAGGGTTGCCTACACCGAGGCTGGCTTTGTCTCTTGAAAAAAAAAAAAAAAAAAAAAAGAGTAAGGGCTTTTCTGACGTAACTCTCTTCTTTGGATTCCAGTTACTTCCCTCTCCCTTTGGGCCTTTGTGTGAAACGTCCAAGTTATTGCATTATTTTCCTTAGTTCTATGCTTTTACACACCTTTGTCAAAAAAAAAATCTCTTAATTTATTCCAATGCTCTATCACTACATATAAATGAAACAAAAATTCAATATACAACACAAAGACTTATTACATGTTAGTGGTTTTCCAAGGCTGGTCCCTGGAGCATAGCATTATCTGGGAACTTGCTGGAATTAGAATTCAAATTTTTGCACCACACCCTCAACTGACTAAATTCTAGGGATGGGGACCCAGCAATCTGTTTTCAGCAAGCCATTGGGGTGGGTTTAATATATGTAAATTGTGACCCAATCTGAAAACCCTGCTCAAACAAGAAAATTAGTAGTGCCCTGGTAAATTTAGAAACTATACAGTTAGATAAAGTTAGCCCTTGGATAATACAAGCTAATAGAAGCAAGCATTTAAATTGTCCCAGGAAGTGTTCTAAACACTTGACACATGTTAACTCATTTAGTCTTTATTTTATGTATTATTTATGTATTTATTGATTTATTTTTGAAAGAGAGTGAGAGAGAGAATGAGCTGGGAGGGGCAGAGAGAGAGGGAAAGAGAGAACCCCGAGCAGGATCAGTGCTGTTAGCACAAAGCCTGATGTGGGGCTTGAACCCACAAATTGTGAGATCGATCATGACCTGAGCCGAAACCAAGAGTCAGATGTTTAACCGACTGAGACACCCAGGCACTCCGCTCATTTACTCTTTATAACAATCTTAGTGTAATAATAACTATTAGACCAATTTTTGATTACGTGGAAAAAAACTAGGCATAGAGGGGATCAGTAGCTGGGCCAAAAGACACACAGTTAGTAAGCGAAAGAGCTAGGCTCCAATCCAGGCAATCCAGCGCCAGACTTTGTGCTCCCCTCTCCTACACAATGGGGCCTGCAGCAGTAAAAAGGGTCTGGAGGAACTCCAGTTTCCTAGCAACAGAGGTGGTGGAAGGTCCCTTCAGCCAACCCACCAATCTAGGGTCAACACGGTTTCCCAGCACTGGAGGAAAAGTGAGCCCCCTTTCTAGGAAGCTGCTGGAGTGAGTCTTCCCTCAAGTAGACTAGATAGGTTTCTCTGAACATAGCTAATAGAGAATGTAAGGGACTTGCCAGTAAGTTTGTGAGGCACTGAGCTTGTGAGAGACACAGCTCTGGGGTTCAATCCTATACTTAAATGTGTTGTCCCAGGCTTGAGTTACATGAAACTGTTGTGCTCTATTCCCTCACACCTCTGCCCCAGTCTTTCACCTTGTTTTAGCTTGCTTTTTCATTTTTATTTTAAAGTAAAAAAAAATTGATGTTACATTTAAAAGTTAAGCTAAAAAATTTAAAGTTTCTGGCTTTACGATACAAACCATATACTTCAAAGACTTATTTTCAACTTATGGATGAAGGATGTGATCCATTTTTCTGGAAGACTTCTGGGAAAACCTTCCAAATTGACCTAACAGAAAAATTTGTTTCTGCATTAAGTCAATTTGTTCCTCATACACATAGTTGTTCAAAATTGTTCAACAGTGAGTTTCTCTGCCATGTGCTAAATCTATATAAAGCCTTTAGATGGTTAAAGTGATCACGTATGCATGAATCAATACACTTAACAATATTTTAAATGGTCAGATAGTCTAGGACTGCCTTCTTCAAATCAGTACACAGAAACATTTCAAGGGTATGTGGGCAAGGATGCCTTCAATGGACTAGGTACCCAGAACATTCCCTTCCACATGAACTCCTGCCTCAAACATAACATCCCTCAGCCTCCTGAGATCAAGGCACTCCTTTCCAACATGTTAGCTCCATTCTCCCTTACGCATGAAAACCTTACTTCTCTGAATCTTACTTTTTACTCTTTAGGGTGTAAAATCCTCTAGGGTAGTGAAAAGTGAATGACAACAATATCCTAATTTGTTGTGATCAAGTATGTTCAAGGAAGTACAATGGAAATGGAAGTTCAAGGAGAAAAATGAATGATGTAACATCGCCTATTTAAACAAAAGTTTGTGGGGTTCCTGGCTGGCTCAGTGCATATAGCATGTGACTCTTGATCTCAGGGTGGTGAGTTTGAGCCCTATGTTGGGCATAGTGATTATTTAAAAAGAAATATTAAAAATAAATCTTGGGGCGCCTGGGTGGCTCAGTCGGTTGAACGTCCGACTTCGGCTCAGGTCATGGTCACACGGTTCATGGGTTCAAGCCCTGCATCGGACTCTGTGCTGACAGCTAGCTCAAGAGTCTGGAGCCTGCTTCGTATTCTGTATCTCCCTCTCTCTGACCCTCCCCTGCTCATGTGTCTCTCTCTCTCAGAAATAAATTAAAAAAAAATCTTGTTTGCATCTTTTATTTATTTATTGAATCTTTTTTTTTTTTTTTTTTTTAAGCCCCCTGAGGGAGCGCACCATGCCTAAAGTACTGCAATACCAGGTCGATGCCTGGGGTGGATAGGGCAAGCTCCTATTCCATCCCCCTGCTCCAAAAATCCACTTAATATATTGCTCTCGGATAGACGACGTCTCATATATTAAACTGATGTGAATAGATACTATGCTTGATCTTAACCAAAGGGCCAAGAAATGATTAATCTTTCTTTCTTTCTTTTTTTTTTTAAAGTAAGCTCTATGCCCAGGGTGGGACTCCAGTTCACGACCCCGAGATCAAGAGTCATGCTCTACTGAGTGAGCTCCGGGTGCTCCCTTGTTTGCATCTCTTAAAAATGAATAATGAGGGGTGCCTGGGTGGCTCAGTTGGTTAAGCATCCAACTTCGGCTCAGATCATGATTTCGTGGTTTTTGAGTTCAAGCCCCACATCGGGCTCTATGCTGACAGCTCAGAGCCGGGAGCCTGCTTCAGATTCTCTTTCCCTCTCTCTCTGTCCCTCCCCCACTCACTCTCTGTCTCTGTCTCTGAAAAATGAATAAACATTAAAAACAAATGGATGATGAAGGGTGCCTGGGTGGCTAGGTCAGTTGAGCATCCGCTCAGGTCATGATCCCAGGGTTGTGGGATCAAGTCCCGTTTCGGGCTCTGTGCTGAGGGGAGCCTGCTTGAGATTCTCTCTCCCCTTCTCCCCCCTCCCTTGCTTGCACTTGTTCTTTAAAATAAAAAAAAAAAAAAAAGGATGATGAAACTATCAAAAGTTATTTAGATTCTGTTGGACACATTTAAAAAACCAATTTAACAGTTTTTTATTTTACAAAGCCAAATTTACAGTATGCTAAAAATCCCATCCTCTTTTCAACTTCAACTTTGGAAAAGTTGAGTTTAAAATGTGCAAAGGGAAACATAATTTTTTAAAAATACTTTTGTGGATATGCAAATAAGTTTGTAGATTGCTTGTTTATGGCTGTTTAATTTCTGACCACCATGGAAGTAAGACTGTCAGCCTTCTGTATATTGGGGGGCAGGGGATGTGATATCTGAGTAACCATCCCAACCGGGCACACACTAAGCTTTGGAACTTGCTTCCATGCTGGAAAGGTGGTGCCCATGACGACTCCCCACTTGGAGTAGGGATTTTTCTGGCTTGTCTGTCCTCCTTACTGAGCCTATGTACCCCCTGGGCTCTCTGCACACCCCTCCAGTAAGACGCAGGAGTTGAGTAAGGTAGGCTTTAGGTGAGAAAGAAAGTGTTGATCTAGTTCATAGTTTTGGAGGAGAGTCCCTTTTGCTATTTCCTGTTACAAGTACCTTTGCTGACCTATTGTTTGCAAGTACCTGATTTTCATCTGGCTTTCTGAGATGTTACAAGAGTTACAAGTACGCTGCACTGCTTTTTCTAAACTCCCTCGGCTTCCTGGTACTCCAGTATGGGACATTTTTTTTCTTGAAACAGCTCAAAAAACGTGTTTCATAAAGCCAAAGGGACACCACACACACACCCCCCAATCAAACATAAAAAGCCTCACCAAAAATACCCCAAGGGAAAAACCAAGAATAACAGTAACTCAAGCCACTGACAAAAGATCTGGCGCCATAACCATTTCATGACTGGAGAGAAAAAATCATCTTTTGCCTATTTCCTTTGGAAGACTTTGGTGTGATGTCTTTCGATAAAGGTGGGATGTGTAAACATGTTTACATGGATACAGAGCTGAAAACACTTTCCTTCCATCTTAACTGCTCTTCTCATTCACCTTCTACAATACAGACTGTATCTATTTGCATTTCATTTCGTGTGTTTCTGTCTGGAGCGGGTGAATTTTTATACATCTGCATTTTGAATTAAATTTAAATCCTCTTTACCATAGCATGGGAAAAAAAAAAAAAAGACTGACCGGTGCCAATTTAGTTTCAGCCATTTCATATAGAAATCCAAAAGCATCAAATTTCCTTGTACTCTGGGAACAATATGTAGCATGAACAAAAGGTTATAGAGGGAAGAAAATGTAATTGATTCTGAAGAGCGTGAACATCTGCAAAGAATGTATTGTAAAGGAAAATGATCTCTGCGGGTCCTACTCCTGATGATGAAACAGTTTCTAGTTCCCCGTGTCAGAGGAATAACCCTCTGATATACACATGCCCCTCCAGGCCCGATGCACTGAGTGGAGGCTGCGGATGCTTGAAGCTAGTTTCCATAACACAGAAACAAATAGAAAGAAGTGTGCAAGACTTCAGGAAACGAAACCTGCCCGGTGGTGTTGAGCTGATGGCCTCAGAGGAAGAGTGAAAAAAGAAAACTATATTCTGGTCCAAATTCTGTCATTAAATATAATGGGATTGTGGCCAAGTCAATAATTTATCTCCCTGAGCCTCAAGGTCCTCAAACTCTCACATGGGAGAGCCAGACTGGGTGGCAGAAGTCTTTTTATGATGTTATCTACAGTGATAAGATTGATAGACTACTGTTTCATCCAGAAGTCCCTTTAGTCTCAGACTTTCCATTTTATTTATCTATTTATTTTTCATTCGTTTATATAATTAAAAAAAAATGGTTATTTATTTTTGAGACAGAGACAGACACAGAGAGGCACAGAATCTGAAACAGGCTCCAAGCTCCAAGCCATCAGCACAGAGCCTGACATGGGGCTCAAATCCATGAACCATGAGATCATGACCCGAGCCAAAGTTGATGCCCAACTCACTGAGCCACCCAGGTGCCCCTATATTTTTTTTTAAAAGATTTTATTTTTCTCAGGTAATCTCTACACCCAAGCCCACGTGGGGCTTGAACTCATGACCCCAAGATCAAGAGCTGCATGCTCCACTGATTGAGCCAGCCAGGTGCCTCCTAGACTTCCATTTTATTTTTTTTTTAGTTTTTTTAATGTTTGTTTATTTTTGAGACTGAGACACACACACACACACACACGCGGAGCATGAGCGGGGTAGGGGAAGAGACAGAGGGAAACACAGAAGTAGGCTCCAAGCTCTGAGCTGTCAGCACAGAGCCCAACATGGTCTCAAACTCATGAACCATGAAATCATGACCTGAGCCAAAATTGGACACTTAACCGACTGAGCCCCCCAGGCACTCCCATTTTAGATGGAGAGAGCAAAAAATTCTAACACGAGTGATTTAAGAACATCAACATTTATTTAACATGATAAAAAAGAAATGAGATATGAACATTTGCATTTAAACAATAGTAAGTAGCCTTTAATACTTACATGTGCTCATTGTATAATATATACACAATGAACATAATTACATTTGTACACAAACTAAGTACTGGATTTGAAAACCTGCTTATTGCTGTACACATCTATCTCAATGAAGTATAAGCCCAGTACTTCAAAATACCTACATTTTAAATCGTATCTTTAAGAAACAGGAAGCGTTAACATTTGTGTTTAAGCTGACAAGAGTGTGGCAGTAACTGCTGACATTGCAACCTGACTGGGAAATAATAGTAGCAGAAAACAGGACATTCTTCACTTAGCAATAATAAAATGGCACATTTTAAATATATATATAAAATTTTTACAAATCAAGTGTGAAACAAAGCATTGCAGTAGCCAAAAATGGGAAAGGAAAAAAAAAAAAGGAAAACAAATTTCTTCATTGGAAATAATAACTAAATTTACGTACTAAAAAGCAAAAAGAAATATAAATCCACCTAAATTTTAGAAACATCAAAATCTGGAAATCAGCAACTGAGTGAGCTCTGGCTGTAGACCGCACGTTAAGAAAGCACCTTTACTCATGTGCTCTGATATCATAGCAGCAAGCTGGTGTCAGAACAACAACCTTAGGATTATGGAGTGTACATATGAGCCATTAAAGCTGTTTGGAATAAACATTTTCCAGAAGTGATAAAATGATGCTCTGTGGACAAAAGCATCAGAACTATGAATTTCATAGATTTAAAATATACTGTACAATATCTTCTCACATTGCTGAAGGTCCACGTCCTTAGCTCTGAACAGTTTTGACAGAAGTCAGTATAGCTGAAAAATAAAGACAGGGAAAATAAAGACAGGGAAAATACTTTGACACCCGCGAAGTTAACGAGTCGCCACTTCCTAAAGTAACTGAGGCCAATGTTCTAGAATGACAGAGCTAAGAAGCATGGCCAGGAAAATCCTAAAATATAATACAACGGAAGGACGTTTTCTTGTCATTTCATAGGTTTAATTCACGAAGCAAAGGATGCAATTAAATAACAATTCGGAGTTTAAAACAGTACCCAAATTTGTGGCTGAATCCCAAAGATCAACAAAATGGGCAAAGACCTGCATAACTTTGCTAAAATATCTAACAATCTTTTAAGCTGTCTGCACAGCAGTGTCATTTGTAAACTTTCCCAAAGTCCTGCTAAAACTGCTAGGTCAGCAACATGACAGACACTCAATGAGAAGACATAAAATAATACAAGTCTGAGGGCTACTCGTCATTCTGGCCGCGTGTCGGAGGACGAGGAGACACCCGCAAAAAACTGGACCCCATTCCAGGCTACAATGCGCCTGGCTCTTAGAGTGAAAGTAAAACAAAACAAAATCCAATAATAATTTAAGAAACCTGGAAATGTACTTGAGTTTTAACTGTAAATATTCTTTATTGTCAGACAACATACTTTATTACCAATGGTCTGTGTACAAAGAACCGTAACCTGTTTATTGAACCAAAGATAATGAGAGTGGACTTTAATTTACATTTCTCCACGAGGATGGACAGAGGCCATCTATCAACTCTGTCACAGGAGGAATCACATGAGCATGCTGCTATCCCTATTCTGGTGGTATTCTGTCACTAGTGGCAACTGTCACTTCAGAACATACGAAGTTAAAACTTGAAACGCATGAATAGCAGAGGCAAGACGTAGGGAAGACCGGAAGATACAGGTGACAAGCAGGTTTGTCAGTCCAAAAAGGATGTGCATCCTGCATAAATACCAACTGACGGCAAACAAAGCCCTCTCTTAGGCTCTAGGGAGACATCGTCTCAAACAGAAGTTACAAATATGCCAAGACAGTAAGTCCTGGATGAAACAAAGGACAAAGATTATGCTGCTACAAAAAGGTATGAACAGAAGTGGATTCTATCTAGAAAATAAGCACCACTGGATGAACTTAGTCAAGTTGGTGTTTGAACTGATTTACTTTGAGAATCTAAAAGTCAAAGACTATGTTAGCAAC